GAGAGATGAGGAGATAGAGAGAAAGAAAGAGAGAGATGAGGAGATAGAGAGAAAGAAAGAGAGAGAGAGAGATTAGGAATGGAGGTCACTCTATATTGAATAGATCAAGCATTCCTTTATTAATAAATTACTACGAAATTTGCATTGTTGAAATGTGCTGTCATCAGGCGCCACTTGGCAAGTTCACGAGAAATGGAAGAGAAATTGGTCTTGCTTAGAAAACACCGTGATGCGTTATCGTTAAAACGATTGTGTGTGACTGGGCGGTGTAATCTCACTGTTTCAGCTAGTAAATTGTTAAATGTCAATGACATGTAAAGTAATGAAATGTAAATATTCATGTAATGTAAAGTTGTAAATGAGATTTCGATCGCTTATGGTCATGCAGTTGCAAATAAATTAAATACCTGTATTCGTAAGGCGAGAAAGTAAAAAAAAAAAATGAAAGTGAGGGAGGAAGAACAGTGAATACTTTTCTGCAGAAAAACTTATTCCCGGGCACTGGTAAAGAAAAAAGTGGATAAATCCTGCTTTCTTTAACACGTGTAGTCAAAATCCATGATTTGTGGGTCCTTCATGCGAAAAGTCCATTGACGGCAAAACGTCTGCCCGTCCGTCTGTGATGAACGCTAGCACCCAAACCGTCCAGCCGATTTCCTCCAAAATTGATATTCCTAGATAACTCAAGGCCCTCTGTTTTCGAAACGAATATGTCAATTGTTGGAGGTACTATATTTGAAGCCTCGACAACATATTCAAAAATTTCTAAAAAATGTTTCCAATTGTAGGTTAAAGTTTGTCCTCGGATATCGTAAAGGTCGCTTAAAAGAATGGTGTCTGTCTCATTTTCGTTAAAAAAACAGATTTTTCGAAAATTGCAAAAGTTTAAATCTTTTCGGTGTCTTTCTACAATTACAGTTTTGAAGGTAATGATTTTCTTCCTTAATAAAAGCTGTTTTTTTAAGACAGTTCTTGAAACAAATTCATGTCAATTTTTTGAAAAACAAACAAACAAACAAAACAGAAAAAACAAGCAGCTTTCGCGTAATTTTGCGGTAAATTTAGGCAATTTTTTCCCCTCAAAAACGGCAATGTTTGCTTTAAGTGTTCTCCTTGTATGTATTAATGGGCGGTAAAACATAATTCCTGCAAGTCTTACTTCCGGGGAACATAGCGTTTTCAAAAATTCCAAAACGTTAACTTTTCAGAATAAAATTGCAGACACTTTTGCCTTAAATCAAATTATCTAAAAATCAACTCTAAAAAAAGGCCGTGTACAATTGTTTAAACAAGTGATTTCGGGGTAAATCTGTGCATGAAATATATGCAATTTACAAAAATAAAACATTTTCTCAAAATCGCTCCAAATTTTTTCTTCAATTTTTTCCCCCCACAAATAGAACATGGAACGCTTAAAAGAATGGCCAGGTCTCAATTTCGTTAAACTCCATGAATTTTCGAAAATGGCAAATTTAGAAATAATACGAGAACGTATGTGCTGATGCAGATCACTTGGAAATAAAGTGTTTCTAACCGCAACAGTCACTTTACACGTCAATTTTGAGAATGATTTCACATCTTTGAAAAAAGGAAAAGAAACGGGAACATATTGATGGCTTAGTGCACACATACTGGATGTCCACAATTTCTGCAATCGAGAAAACCAAGCTGGAAGTTTGTAAAGGTGCAGTTACTTATAGAGCGACAAAAGTTTGTCTTCTGAAAAAATGCATGGCCTCTCTTACATATATTTAAAATATTTTGTACTAGGAAGATACGAACAAGAGTTCTCAAAAATTATAATAACTCAAATGCGACCTGAATATGAAATGTTTGTGTACTAACCCATCGACACATACTCGGTCCTAAGTAATTTGGTGAATGTATAATATTAGCTCGCTTACAGAAAGAGTCACATACCAAACGTTATGGATTAGCAAGCGGAGATTTTGTTTCTTCGTAACACAATTCTTACTAATGCATTCAGAACGTTTTCAAAAATCCATATCCTCTTTAATATTTCAAAATATTATAAGGGACTTTTATAGTAAGTTCTTGAAAATAAAAAGAGTACTAAATGCTTTTATTTAACTTGCACTGTGTACGGTTCAATCGTGTGACGTGTTTTTAAGATACCTAAGATATGAGAATTGTTTACTTAAGAAACACTGATGTGGATTTGGCGGATGTTGCCTACACAAATCACTTTCAAATGAAAAAAAAAATCATAAAATTCTCACATTAATAGCGGAACATTTTTGGTAAATATATCTTAATAGTTTGGGGTAAATGACTCTTACAGTTTTCCACGCGAGTGAGGGAAAAACTTGTTAAAATCGTTTATCGGTCACATGCGTCTTTAACCCTTGTTAATATGCAACCCTATAAGTTTGTTAAGTGCACTTGTACCTACCTGTAATTTAGAAATTTAAAATCTTTAGCAACAGGTTTTAACATCCTTAATAACCTAAATAAACAACCACCCATTCATCGCAAGTCAACATTATTACGAAAAAAAAAAAATCACATGGTAATTTATAAGACAAATAGTAATCCAAGAATTATTTTTGTGGATGTTCATTATTAATTATGTTATTAATTGTGCAGTTTGAAAAATAAATATTTGGTGAATTCTTGAGGTACAGACGAATTTTCAGCGTCTAGCTTTCTCGAGCCACGATAGACAAGTGTATTGTTGAAATAGATATATCGCAAGCAATACCCAACAATATCGATTATCGTCCCACAACAACAGAATTCATGAGTTTCACATCGCAATAATGTAAATTTTCTCAAAAATATTGAGATTTTATGGTGACCGATAAAACGCTGAACATATCACGAAATGTTACAGTGTTCTTACTGCCTCGCCCAAATTAAAAATCTTGTCTCCGCTACGCTCCGCCTACATTTTAACTTTTGGATTTTCTCTATAACACTCATAACATTTCTAGGTATGTTTTAGATTTCTAGATATATTTCTATAAAATCTTCGTTAATAAATAAATTACAACTACGTACAACTATTTCATATACATTTTTCATATATATATTTCATATAAAGTTCATAGTTCGCACTGAAACATTAAGCAGATTTTTTTTAATTTCAGGAGAGGTTTTAGTTCTCTAGCAGTTTTTCAATCTAGATGCCTGCTCAAATGAAAACAGAAATATGCGAGTTATTTTCCCTTACCATATTCCACGACGTAAGGTATTGAGCACCACCCAAACTTGCCGCTTTTTCATTCTGGTGAGACAAAACTGGCATCCGCAGGTGAACAACTGAATAATAGTTCGCGCACGATCCACAAGACAACGCGCACAAATGAAGCAAAACTCTTGCCCACATCGCAACAAAGCACACTATAGCTCTCGTATAGCTAAGCACTGAAACAGCACAAACGACTTACGAAGACAACGCTTTCCCGTTTCTCACTTGAAAAGATTCCTTTGGTCAGTGCTCAATCTCACCTGTAGTTGGACTACTTATAGTACGAGGGAGAGGGGGAGGGGGCACTGAATCGCGAACTTCATTACGATTAAAATGTTTGGAATTGAAGCTCCCGATTGCATGACAGTGTCCCCCTCTCTTTTCAGCTCGTGACCTCCAAAGGACTTCGTGTTTTAATTGAAGTATACTGTGAAGCTCTCTAAACGTGACGAAGCAACCTAGTTTCATATGAAGCACCGTAACGGGATTCAAACAGCACGTTTCTCCCTTGGCAACTGACATTTTATCTTCGAAGCATGACATAAAACAAGACTCAGTTCCGAAATCGATTAAAACCAAAATTAATCATTTACAATGTATGTAGCATGAAGATTTTTTTTTAAACTGGCCTAAAACAGATCTAACCTTATTTTTCATGTTTATTAAGCTCAACCTATTCATATTTGATTACGAACTATATATTTCATTGCAGATTAATTTATTTTGAATTTGTTAGTGCTATTTTATCACACACTTGAAAAAGAAATGTAGTTTCTCATGATATGTTTCGACTTAAATATTACAATTATTAAATTAAAATTTGTATCGCAAAAATGAACTATTGCAATGAAAATATGATTATTATTATTATTATTATTATAATTAATACAATATCGACATTTTGGTACTTAGTATATATAGCATTGTTCCTTTGAGTTATCAAACTGATAACAGCGAAAGAAATTGCAATCTCATACTCTGATACGGCAGAGATATCGTAGATACATTCATTAACAAAATAATCAATTACATCAGAACATTGAACTCGGAATGCTTGAAAGCTTGTTGAAGAGTGTAATTTGTATTAAGTGTTTCACACTTGCTTAGTTATTGACTTACCATGTCCCAGAAGGTGAGATATTTTGATTGTCCTAATTCTGCAAGTCGATCATTCCGTTTAAAATTGGGAACGTTTAAATACATACATGCATAAACGATGCCTAACCAGTGATTCACGCACGCACAAATACGCACAAGAGTTCTCAAACACGACACGACAGAACCTCCGACTTCCTTCTCCATACTGAAATGCTCTACCTAATGTGGAAGAATGCACCAAGAACTACCGCATTGTCCTGGTAGATAAGATAACGCTCTTGAAGAACGAGACAGAAAAAACTGTAGTAATACGAGGAAACAGCGTGGGAGACTCGTCGGAAAGGAACGCCGTTGTTGTGATGTTACGTCAACATATAAACAATTACTTCAACTACCCTAATCTTTTCAGCACTATCTACGTCACCACACAAAGCTATAAAAACTATATTGTAATTGATTAAAAAACTCCGCTTTGCATTGATTCATTTAGCCCGTTGCGGTATTTTGGTAAATCAATACTTCGCGTAACATGTGAGTCATGGGAGAGGGAAAAATATTTTTTTTAGTAACAAAATAATTTTAGGGTCGGTTTTGGAAGGCGTAATAAACTGATGACGTTTGCATAATAACTTTGTCCTGCGCGGTTGAGTCTTTCGATGACGTTTGCTGCTGCAGTTCCTATTAAAGCCGTATCCGTCGATTTCAACTTCCGGGCTGTCCCCCAGCTGATAATTGTCTTCTCTCTGTCTCGCACGATGTTTTGACTGGCAGTGACAGGAGCGCCGTTAACCTAGTCCGTTGTGTCAAAAAAGGAGAGTTTTCTACCGTATGTTTACTTTAAGTGATTGGTTGATATTAATCGTTTGTGTTTCATTAGTGCATATGAAATCTTAAATGATGTCGAATGGTTTGAAAAAGATATAAAGGCTATTATTGCATGATCTAAAGGCATTATTATGGTGGTCTATTGTGCATCGGTAATAGTAAGTTTTTGTTCATATCGTACCGTATTTGTTGCAGATACGGGATTATTTAGTAAAAGATGACATTATGGCCGAGTACTGTGAATACGAATGGGGTCTACGACGTCAAGAGATAGATATAACATGTAGAAATTCAGAGAAGAAAACGTGTGATAAAAAACAGGCAGTCATCGCTGTACAACAATTGATTCCTTCGAGACCTGAAATAGGTTTATTGCTGTTCATACCATTCAAAGTTAAATTTATATCATTTCACCTGCTAATTCTTGACAATTATTTCCAGATTTTTTGCGAACGGACGAAGATTTTATTTTACGCTTCCTCCATGCCAGAAAATGTGGTGTGCAAGAGAGTTTTGATCTCTTGGCCAATTATTATTCTTATAGAAAACGCAATAAAGATTTGTTTTTACATTTTAATGCCAATGAAATTGGCATCCGAAATGCTTTAAAAGATGGTTTTCCTGGGGTACTACCAGAAAGAGACAGGTAATGTTACTTACTTTTTTGTTTGTTTTTGTCTGCGAAAAATGAGTAAGAATCCTTCAATTACTGGATCATCCTCGTCAGAAAGAGCATGATAATCAGTAAAATATAAGCAGCAATGATAAAATGTTTCTAAATTTTATGGTGTAGATGCGAGTTATTGGTTTTAAAAGTGTTAAATGGGTTTAAGTGCTATTAAAAAAAATTGTTTGCAAAACTAAACTTTTCTTAACCCCCCACCTCCCTTGTGACACCCCACTACAGATGGCAATTCCATTTACAGCCACATCCCCTTTCTTTGCACTTCATGAGTTAAAATAAAACTACAACAACAACAAAAAATTGCAGACACCTTCATGTTTCAATATCATTTTTAAAAATTTTAAACTCTGACTCTCCCATGTTTGCTTTTGTCACAGTTGTCCCTCCCTCTCACAAAATTTATTTAATTATTTTAAATTTATTTAAAATTTATTTATTTAATTATTAAAAAATTATTTAATTATTTTATAACATAAATGTACTAATTCCTCCCATTGTACATTTACTTATATTACAATTGAATTCTTGATCTTTCATTTGAAATATTGATTTATGTTTGAATGAATAAAAAAATTGTTAGTGTTGGTGGATAGATGTAAAAGTTTGTATCCTAACATGCTACAAAATCAGTGTTTTTTATTCCATGTACATCATCAGCCTCTCTCAAATTGGAGATTAGTTTTAATATTGATACGATAGAATAGTTATATGCTTGGCATTAAAAAAGTGATTCAAGGTTGTGAAAATATCTCTATTTTGTTACAGTATTGTTGAAACTATTCTAATCAGAAATGTTTTTTAAAAGTAAACTTTGTAAACTTATTTGTACACATTTTTTTTTACATTTACAAATTAATTAAGGATGAAATTAATAATTTATTGCAAAAGTGTCTGGTGATTTATAGGTGAAATTATATAAATTTTCATTACCACTGTTTCTGATATTAAAATTGAAAGTTTTAGCAATTTAATTTTAGTAATTTTAAATCTATTAAAAGCCGGCAAAATAAAATAAAATAGCTGACTAAATAAACAATATTGCATTTGTGTGTTTAAGAAGAAATGACAAAATAATTATGATTTTCAAGATTATGATTTCTTCCATTAACAAATGTTAATTTTTCCCTCAACTAATTTCCATGTAGTGATGCTTGTTAAATTACACAATTGTAATGTTTAGTAATTTTACGTAAAATTCGTACTAGAAATCAACACAATCTCATTTGAACTGTAAACAATATTCGTAACATTGTATTTTATATTCCAATCTCGGTGATAATTAAAATTGCACTGTGGTTCTACATAGTTTCTTTTGAAGGAAAAAATGTCATTAAAGGTTGAATTAATATTTTAACAGGCCAGAAATTGTGATCACTTTGCAAGTGTTTTATTATTTTCCAAATTATACATTTTGTCAACCTTGCCAGATATTTTCATTCTCAATAAATGTTATTATGAAACTGTAAATATAATAAAAGTAGAAAACCAAAAACTGATATATTTTCTGTTGAATATATTATTATACGAAAATAATCTTCACAACTTAAAATTGATGGATTTAAGAAAAACAACAACTGAACCTAAACTGTTTTTTCCCTCAGAGCCACCTCCAAGCCGTAGCCCACACCCTGTCTGGCATTATATCCACTCCCTGCTATCCATATCTAGGGTTTTGGGAGAGGGTGTCCCCCACTCCCTCACCATTTCCCCTCCCTCTAGTTCTCCAGTCCGGGACCCTACCTGTCGATAACCAGTTGAGATAGAGGAAGCCCTTCCCACTTAGTTCTTGGTTGTCGCCTTGGTGCTGCTGTGATCCATATATCCTTAGCAGAACCTAATGATAGGATAGGGTTGGGAATTATTGATGGAGCAATCGGGTGGAATGCGTATTGACAGGGGAAATGGGAGTACCCCAAGAAAACCTGTCACTAACCCACTTTGCTCACCACAAATTCCACTTGGAACCACCTGAGATGGAACACAGGTACCAGCAATGGAAGGCAGGCAGTCTGACCACTATGCCTGGACCTCCCTCTGACCACTGGCCTCCCTTTGATGGATATTCTGATTTGCATTTATTCTGTTTTAAAACTGATAAGAAATTATTAAAAATGTTCTTCTCCAATTGTAGTATGATTTTGACATTATGAACGTGGTTTGACACATACCTGCTACTAAAGTTATGTATATGTCACAGCTAACGTTTGAATTTGGCTCATTTCTAAATTAGCCAGTTAATGCTCGTGTGAAATAAAATGAGAGTGTAATGTGTGAAGTAGAAACAACTTTGAAGCTTATTTTGGAATTAAACAGAATGAAATTAGGGTAGCCAGTGGGTAAAGTATGACATGTTGAGAAGGAATAGGGGATGTGTGATAAATAGATGTCAGACTGCTGATCACCCAAAGTTTCTGAGACATAAGGTTTTTAGAAATTTGTTACCTCAAAAATTTGTGATAGTAGCGATGCTGAGACTTTTTCTCTCCTTATTTGTTTTCTTTATTTGTAGCATTTGTCCTGGGTCAGTGCTATTTTTTCAGGGGAGTCCCTTTCTTGAATATGCAGAAAAGTCTGGAAATTTCGTTGATCTAAAAAACTTTAGAGAAAATTGTAAGTTTTTAGAAGTAGAAGAAATTTTTTAAACAAGTTTAAAAATGAGAAATGTATATTCAAAATAACATTGATACATTGTTACTTTCGGCACAATAAAAAGAAAATCAATTGTTATAAGAGAGCTAACAAATAAATGAAAGGTGGCAGTAAGCATTCTGAATCACAGTTTCTCTTTCACCTATTCATTGAAAGGAAAATAAACGAAATGGTAGGGGACTGGGTGGGGAAAGAACTGAGATGGTTACAGTATTTTAATAATCCTTTTTGTAAAACAAATGCTTATCAAAATACACCCCTTTGGTGTATGTGTAAAGTAGTGAATAATGTAAATATTGATCTGTCTGATTCTGTTCTTAACTTTAAGTTTTTAGCGAAAGGGATTTTATTAAATGATTTTAACCAATTTAGATTTTGTTTTGTGGATTATATATTCGTAATTAGGCATTGACTGCACCAATAAATAAATATATCTCCCCTCTCCTTCCGTAAGTCTTGCTTTTATTGAATAAATGAGAGTCCTGGAGAAGTTAGGGAAATTTGTCTCGGGCAAAATGAGACCACTCTTGTTTATCCTCCTCGTATATATATTGAGATATTAATATTTGGCATTCTCATCCTTCCAGGAAGGGTAGGTGTGTGCTTGTGATCTTCACGGCCCACTGGGACCACTGCTCGTACTCGCTCATGAGCATCTACCGAGCACTTCTTTTAACCCTGGAGCGCCTCATAGAGAAGCCTCGAAACCAGTTGAATGGTTTCGTGTTTATTGTGGACTGGAGTGAATTCTCGTTCCGCCAGTCGTCTAACTTGAATCCACGCGTGTTGAAGCTAATGATAGAAGGGCTTCAGGATTGCTTCCCTGCTCGTTTTAAAGGGATCCATTTCATTAACCAACCCTGGTATGTGGAGGCTGCTCTGACAGTTATCAGGCCCTTCTTGAAAGAAAAGACCAAAGAAAAGGTAATAGTGAGTGATATGAATGTTTATGAAATTGCAAGAAATTTTACATTTACAAATTAGTTAAGGATGAAATTAATAATTTATTGCAAAAGTGTCTGGTGATTTATAGGTGAAATTATATAAAATTTTCATTACCACTGTTTCTGGATATTAAAATTGAAAGTTTTAGCAATTTAATTTTAGTAATTTTAAATCTATTAAAAGCCCAAAATAAAATAAAATGGCTGACTAAATAAACAATATTGCATTTGTGTTTTAAGAAAGAAATGACAAAATAATTATGATTTTCAAGATTAAGATTTCTTCCATTAACAAATGTTAATTTTTCCTCAACTAATTTCCATGTAGTGATGCTTTGTTAAATTACACAATTGTAATGTTTAGTAATTTTACGTAAAATTCGTACTAGAAATCAACACCACAATCTCATTTGAACTGTAAACAATATTCGTAAACATTGTATTTTATATTCCAATCTCGGTGATAATTAAAATTGCACTGTGGTTCTACATAGTTTCTTTTGAAGGAAAAAATGTCATTAAAGTTGAATTAATATTTTTAACAGGCCAGAATTGTGATCACTTTGCAAGTGTTTTATTATTTCCAAATTATACATTTTGTCAACCTTGCCAGATATTTTCATTTCTCAATAATTTTAATTATAACGTAAATATAATAAAAGTAGAAAACAACTGATAAATCTAATTATTGTTGATTTTTTCTCTGTTGAATATATTCTTATTACGAAAATAGATCTTTCACAACTTAAAATTGATGGATTATAGAAAAAACAACAACAACTGAAAACTAAATTGTTCTTTTCTCCCTCAGAGCCCACCCAGCCGTAGCCCACACCCTGTCTGGCATTATATTCACTCCCTGCTATCCATATCTAGGGTTTTGGGAGAGCGGTGTCCCCCACTCCCTCACCATTTCCCCTCCCTCTATGTTCTCCAGTCCGGGACCCTACTGTCGATAACCAGTTGAGATAGAGGAAGCCCTTCCCACTTAAGTTCTTGGTTTGTCGGCCTTGTGGCTCTGTGATCCATATATCCTTAGCAGAAACCATATGGATAGGCATAGGGTTGGGAATTCACTCTTGAGGGAGCCAATCGGGTGGAATGCGTATTTGACAGGGGAAATGGGAGTACCCCAAGAAAATCCTGTCACTAACCCACTATTTGCTCACCACAAATTCCACTTGGAACCACCTGAATGGGGAACACAGGTACCAGCAATGGAAGGCAGGCAGTCTGACCACTAATGCTGGGACCTCCTCCGACCACTGGCCTTTGATGGATATTCTGATTTGCATTTTTCTGTTTGTAAAACTGATAAGAAATTATTAAAAATGTTCTTCTCCAATTGTAAGTATGATTTTGACATTTGAACGTGGTTTGACACATACCTGCTACTAAAGTTATGTATATGTCACAGCTAAAGTTGAATTTGGCTCATTTCTAAAATTAGCCAGGTTAATGCTCTGTGTGAAATAAAATGAGAGTGTAATGTTGTGAAGTAGAAACAACTTTGAAGCTTATTTTGGAATTAACACAGAATGAAAATTAGGGTAGCCAGTGCGGTAAAGTAATGACATGTTAGAGAAGGAATAGGGGATGGTGTGATAAATAGATGTCAGACTGCTGATCACCCAAAGTTTCCGAGACATAAGGTTTTTAGAAATTTTGTTTACCTCAAAAATTTGTGATGGTAGCGATGCTGAGACTTTTTCTTCTCCTTATTTGTTTTCTTTATTTGTAGCATTTGTCCTGGGTCAGTGCTATTTTTTCAGGGGAGTCCCTTTCTTGAAAATGCAGAAAGTCTGGAAATTTCGTTGATCTAAAAAACTTTAGAGAAAATGTAAGTTTTTAGAAGTAGAAAGAAATATTTTAAACAAGTTTAAAAAATGAGAAAGTGTATACAAATAACATTGATACATTGTTACTTTCGGCACAATAAAAAGAAAATCATATTGTTATAAAGAGAGCTAACAAATAAATGAAAAGTGGCAGTAAGCTTCTGGAATCACCAGTTTCTCTTTCACCTATTATTGAAAGGAAAATAAACGAAATGGTAGGGGAACTGGGTGGGGGACAGAACTGAGATGGTTACAGTAGTTTAATAATCGCTTTTATGTAAACAAATATATGCCTTCAAAATACACCCCTTTGGATGATATGTGCTAGAGAGTAGTGAATAATTGTAAATATTGATCTGGCTGATTCTGTTCTTATCTTTAAGTTTTAGCGAAAGGGATTTTATTAAATGATTTTACCAATTTAGATTTTGTTTTGGTGGATATATATTCGTAATTAGCATCTGACTGCACCAATAAATTAAATATATCTCCCCTCTCTTTCCGTAAGTTTTGCTTTTATTGAATAAATGAGAGTCCTGGAGAAGTTAGGAAAATTTGTCCGGGCAAAATGAGACCACTCTTGTTTCCTCCTCGTATATATATTAGTATTAATTATTTGGCATTCTTCTATCCTTCCAGTAAGGGTAGGTGTGGCTTGCTGATCTTCAGACGCCGCACTGGACCACCTGCTCGTACTCGCTCATGAGCATCTACCGAGCAGCTTCTTTTAACCGCGCGTGAGCGCCTCATAGAAGAAGCCTCGAACCAGTTGAATGGATATGTCGTAGTTAATTGTGGACTTGTAGTGAATTCTCGTTCCGCCAGTCGTCTTAACTTGATCCACGCGTGTTGAAGCTAATGATAAGAAGCGGCTCAGGATAAGCTCCCTAGCTCGTTTAAAATGGGATCCATGTTTCATTAACCAACCCTGGTAGTGGAGGTGCTCCTGACAGTTATCCAGCCCTTCTGAAATGAAAAGACCACAAGAAAAGGTAATAGTGAGTGATATGAAATGTTTAGTATAAATTGCCAAGAACAATAAAATCTTTGCTGAACGTTACAAACTATCCGAAGCCAATTCGATTGTTGTGTGTGTGTTCTGGGTGGGCTCGTGCCTTGTGTTGTGTGTGTGTGTGTCGGGGTATTGTTTGTTTGTGTTTTTCTCTGTGTCTGTGTGTGTCCGTCTCTGGGTGTGTGTGGTAATTTTAAGCGATCA